GTAGAAACCAGGTCTGATCACTGAAAAAACAACATGCACTACAGCTTTCAATTTCCAAAAGTATCAACTTTCTTTGAGAAGGCAGACAAGTTTTTAGATTTGAAGAAAAAAAGGAGATGCAGTGTATTAAAAGCTCTGGAAATCTGGAGGCTGAGACTCTCTGAGTTCTGCATGCTTTCTTCCTCCTCCCAACTTTACTTTCTGACTCTCTCCCTGTTGTTCTGTAGGAAGAAGGAAGATGTGTTTATACTTTGCTACTTACTTTTCCAGGCAAAAACCATGCAATTGAAAGTTAAATGTGAAATGCTGCAACCTGGAATATAAGGAGCGTCTTACGGAAAAGCAACATAGTAATTGAGTCTTAATAATACACTGATAGATATGTATCTCTCCATTTGTAGATCAGACTAACATCAGACCAAAAATGTATCGCAAACGCCCAAGCATTTGCCTGTGCAAACGCCTTGCCTTCTAACTGAAGCCCACGCGTACAGTCTGAAACTACTATGTAATTTTCTCTGTAATTACCCCTGATGTAATCCAGCCATTGGTGTCTCTCTCAAGGGGAAGAGCTTTGGATAGACAATAGTAAACATGGGCTGACTGCAACGGTGGCAGTGTCCCAGAGGGCAGTGTAGCAAATCCAAGAGGCTTCTGGGTAATGAGATCGGAGTCATAAACTTCAAATCTATAGAGGATGGAAAAAAAGAAGATATGCACGGTTATCTTTTGATATATATTAGAGTTCTGTTCACATCTGACAAAAGGAAGCAACCCTTCCAATGATAATATGCAAACCTCTCTAAATTAGGTACTCTCCAGATGTTTGAACTTCAACTCCCAGAATTTTTCAGCCAGCACAGCCATGCCAAGAATTCTGAGAATCGAAATCCACATATTTGGAGAGTGCCCAAGTTGGGAGAGGCTGCTCCAGAATAAGGCACAACCAAAGTTATGGATGGGACAGATCTCTGCTCAAGAAGACTGTTCTCTTTTTTCTCCCTCAAAACCCTTTCCACTCTAATAGTAAACTTGCTAGGTTCTCAGTTCTGCTAAACCAGAGTGTGGTTCATTTGCTTTGGCTTCATACTGGTGTTAGGAAGCCACATTGAATGGTTTGTCATTTTATGGGAATGAAACACTATAGTTTGTTCCACAAACCATGGTTTAAACAAGCATCAAGAATGAGATACCTTATGGTTTGATTTGCAAACATAAAGGACATGGAACTCAGCCCCTATGATAGTTTTTATTGCTGTCTAATAACAGCTGTCAAAGACTTAGGATAAAACAAAGAAAAAATGATTGGAAGAAAAACTTAAAACAGTTTTAGAGGGTATCACGATCTGCTCTTTGACACAACTCATCTGGTCCTACAGCTGGAACTCCCTGCAGTGTTAGCAAAACACAGCAGTAAATTTGCACTGGATGAAAGAGAAGTGAATGTCAGTCTATTAAATAACTAAGATCACCAATACATGAGGTTCTCCAAGAGCACCAGATTCTCTCCAATCAGGCCAACAGACAGTTCCAAGACAATTGTCCCAGCACTGAGCCAAGCAGAAGGGGTACTGAACACCAGCAAGATAGGGTTTGTTTTGGGTAACCTTCTTTTAAAAAAAGCAAATCAACATGTTTGCCAGCTTCTGCTCATCTCAATTTTCCTGATCCACCATATCCTCCCTTGCCCCCAAATCTTAAAAGTCAACATCTCCGTCAGGCCCAGAGGCCTCAATTGGTAGCACGTGGATGAGCACAAACAAGCCGCCAGTCAGTTTTCAAAAGCCAGAACTGGAGCCATCACACTGGGCCAGCCGGCCGGAGGAGTTCTTCTGCCTTGTGATTCATCCACGGGTCAGCTTTGGAGCTAACTGCCTAGGAACTCTGTTTTGTTGGACGAGGCACTCCTTCTTGCCTCGGGAATATTATTATTTCTACTTGTTCCATTCCCCCATTAGAAGATGGTGACTTCCCTCCTGCAGAGAGAGAGAAGACTTTGCAAAGAAGAAAAAAAAGGCTCTGAAATGCCTTTTAACGCAGAAGCACAACATCAGGCTGCCTTTTGGGGCCTTAGTATTTCTACCGAAAGGGTATCTTGAGATGCCATTTGATAACAGGGTTGGAAACTTAATTTGCCCAATTGTGCATCTGAAGTACCATGGTGATCTTATTACTCTGCCCTTCAATATACCTTCTTAGTTTGGAGTATGTGCATGTGTCTGCTTAATATTTATATATTCTACATCTATAAACCCCTAGTGTGGTACTTGAGGATACCAATATGCTTGCAAACATCTTTCCTGGGCCTGCCAGCCTTTCTGCCTCTCTTGACTTTTAATATTTTGAGTCTCTTCAAAAAAGGAAGCCATTGTGCTGCAAACCACAGCAAAATCATCCTGCATCATCTTTGCTTCCAAGAATGCCTCTGATCAGAAAAGATTCTAAAAAACCTTCACAGAATATAGAAATGATGGGCAGCTGCAGCCTGGTGATCAGTTTGGAAGTGTGCCTGCTTGACTCCATTTAAATTCAGATATAATTAAAATTAAATACCATGAATATGATCGCTTGCCACTCATGCCTTTAATAGTTTTCCCTCCTACCACATTAATGTGTTGGAGGTCCTTGGGGGTTGCTCCTCAGGCTTCCAGGTGATTAATGCATACCTCTATCCCAGATTCTGAGAAGGAGGCAGAAAATGTATTGTTCACCTATAAACAGCACAGAGGATGGCGAAAGGTGTTGGGAGTTTTCATTCAGCCACTTCTGGATGGCCGCAGGTTCCTCCCCCAGCGTTACAGACTGAAGAGCTGCCAGACTTAAGATACTTTAGACATTCAATCATCATCCAGCTACCTTTTAGAGACTGGCAGTATGTGTTGTACAGTGTCCGCATGGCCATCTCCTGCAAGGGTAGCACGTGGTCCAGTTCTGTCCCTATTAACTTCACCTCGGCTGGGAGGAAAACCGTCAGCTGTCCCGATGAAAAGGAAAGAAGTTTCACCTCTGCTTTCTGAACAGGAGAACCACAGCTGGAGAGCGAGTTGGGGAAAGGGAAAAAGTGGTTTACAGTGAGTGATGTAAAGTTAGTGTCCCTGTGATCTAAAGAAACATTATTTCGTTCTCTCATATCGGTTTCCTTGACAGCAGCTTACGGGTGCACCATTTACACCAGTGTTGTCCAAACTTGGCCACTTTAAGATGAGTGGACTTCAACTCCCAGAA